TGTATTTTTGCGAAGTCTTAGAGTTTATTTAGTGTCATAATATTTAGTAATGAGTCTAGGCGTTATAGTGTTCTAATAGCTCATGCGTTTTAGAAAAAAGTGGTGCGGTGTGATTGGCATAGTCATTTGGATGAAGCAGTTTATATAGCAGGCGTTTGAAGGTTATGATAGAGTGACAGGTCCTCATTTCTAGGGGTCAACTGTTCCAGATATTAGAGTACATGACTATGAAGAAGTTTGCACGGAGTGCTGTCTTACAGTTTTTCCTAGATACCGTGCACGTTTGGTTACGAAGGTTGTAAGAGCCTTCCGGTGAGAACTGTATCTCCTTACTGTCTGAGAATGATATTTTATGCAAGATTTTAAAGAAGAATGTCAGGTTAATGCTCAGTCGTCTCATCCAGAGTTGGTCGATACCTAGCGTTATACACCTTGATGTGTAGTCCTTTTCGCAGTCAAATCCTAGTAGTTTAGACGTGAAGTATCGTTGGACACTTTCTATTTTAAGTTTGTCACTTACGCGAGTGCTGCTGAGAATAAATGGACAGTATTCAAGTAGTGGTCTGACACAAGTTTTATATAATAATAGTTTCGCTTCGTAGTTGTGGAAATTCCTGAGTATGCAACCCAAGAGCATCCTCGATTTACGCGTCTGTGTCGCCACTTGCTCAGAAAATGTCAAGTCACTAGAGTACCTGAGTTCTAGGTCAACAACACTTTGGAGTTTAGGCAAGTCAAGAGATTCAAGTACCAGCTTAATATTTATTGAGGGTGCACCGAAACAGATCCAACCACATTTTTTAAGGTTGAATTTTAGGTTCCGTGTGGAGGACCATGCAGTTACTCGATCTAGTTCTTCCTGAACAGCTTTCTCAAAATATCCTAAGTCATCACAGGGGAATGTGTAAGCTACTTTGCGATCATCTGCGAGGATGAACGGTTTACCAAGTGAGAAACAGCTGCATATGTCGTTGACATATAGAGTGAATAGGAGGGGGCCTAAGACGCTACCTTGAACTACTCCAGAAGTGACTGGACTAGGTTTAGAGTTTACAGAACCCAGTCTAACTACTTGGGACCTATTGTTAAGGAATGATTCAATCCATCCTAATAATGGGTTACTTATTCCTAAGGAGTTCAGCTTATTTATTAGAAGCAGATGGTCAACGCGGTCAAAGGCTCTGGATATGTCAAAGTAGATGACTAGTACTAGTTGTTGTTTGTCTCGGCTGCTAGTTATATAGTTAAAGAAGTCAAGGTGACATGTCATGCATGATCTGGATTTTAGGAATCCATGTTGGTTTGGGCTTAGAATATTGCAGCTGAGCCTATGTTTGAGGATATCAATCCCCTGTAAATCTGATGACTAATTTTAAGTCGCTGATTGCTGCATCAAGCAACACACTCCCTACAAATGGTTATAGTGAGCCACACAACCCACTTGTATGTCGTAAGCGTCGAGCTGAAACTGAGGATAAAACTGCACTGACAGCTAGTATTAGCACTACTCCCAAAAATTCAGTACCCTCTGCTCATACAGAAACCCTCCCGTCACCTTATGTACTTATCGAAAAGTTCCAGCCTTCAAACTCTGTTTCAGAACGTTGGTACTCGAAGAGCGAACACGATAGAAGTTGTTGGTATAAGATCTTGCGTTAGTATACTCCGTACAATTCGTGAACGTCAACCACTAAAGGAGGGAGGCTATGAGTTCTACCGTGTTGGCAGTGTGTTTATCTATTTTAGTGGCTTGCGGTGTCTTGCCATTTGGTTTATTAAAGTGGTGTCAGAGAGGACAACAACCATGTAATTTCACTATAAATCAAATTCATGTAATGTAAATAATACTTATCCATGGCTGTACAACTGGTGTGTCCTACATAGATAGGAAATATATATATTATTTATATAGTGAACTTGCTTATCACATTCGTGTTGATTTTGTCACTTCATGGGGGAGGAAGGTGTTGTAGCCAAGTCAGATTCTGTTTTAGTCCATCATTCCTATTCAGTTCAGACAATTTGGGTTCCACTTGATATGAAGTGCTTCTGATGATATTAAACGTTCTTTGTGATTTCTGAAGTTCTTCTGGATGACAATTTCAATATTGTCAAAATTAATTTTGTGGCCTGATTCTATAGCGTTAAATAGCGAAACGTCAGTAAAAACAATATCGTTTTGTTTTTCATTCATTGAGAAATACAAAAACCTTTATTATAATGAATGTCATATTCCCAATGCCCAAACCTTTTCAAACCGTTGAAAGTGAACTTGGTTTGGACATATATAACTTAATTATTCTTTCAAGTTTAGAAACCCTATAAACCATCGAGGGGAGAGGAGAAAGAGATCGGAAATTATAGATGAATATATTGTTTATTGTTTTCAAAGGAAATCCTCAACCCTTAGTCACAATACAGCGGTGCAGCACGGACGATGATAGCCAGTGCCATCCAAGTGCTCCGATTGAATCAGAAGAAAAAAACTCCAACAGGCCGGTTCCCGGGGAATCGGCCAACTAGTTCGCAGGATAACTCCTCAACCGACAGCCCACATCACGTCAACCACCCCCCAATACGGGGACGTGGTGAGACTGACTACCAGTTGCCTGTACAGTAATGTGAGAGGTCTAAGAGGCAAAATAGCTGAACTTAGATACCTACAATCACAGCTGAACTCCAAAATCATAATACTGACGGAAACCTGGCTAACCCCTACGGTGGCAGACAGCGAAGTCAGTATAAATGATATGGTCCTTGTCAGGCGAGATAGGGATCTGAAAGAAGGAGGTGGAGTCGCCATATACGTCGACAAACAGCTCAGATGTGTCCATGCAATCGACCCTCCCCTCATTGAGCTCCCTGACTCCATATGGTGCCATTTCACCGTTGGGTACTGTAAGTATCTAGTGGGCAGCATTTACAGATCACCTTCATGTGGAGCAGACCACAACCAGGTACTGCTGAATGCAATTTCAGCGACACATGACATGGGTTATGATCAAATTGTCATAGCTGGAGACTTCAATGCCCCATCTCTTAACTTGATGACGGGATGTGCCCAGGACAGATTTGATCGAAATCTGCTGCATACCATCACGGAGGCCGGATTCACCGAAAATGTCAGAATGGATACTAGATGGGGCCCAGATGGGAAGTCTTCTAGACTGGATTACGTGCTCACTAGTGACCAGCTACTAGTGGAAAACGTTCAGATCACGACTCCCATAGGTAGTAGTGACCATGCGGTCATAACATTCGACATAGTCCTCCGCGAGCGTTTACAGTGGGACAATACACAGCCCTATCTGTGTTATAACAAAGCCAATTACACCGAAATGCGAAGACTTTTGTCTGAAGCAAATTGGCCAAAAAATTGGACAGAGCTTACAGTAGAAGAACACTGGAGAGTGGTAAAGGAGATCATTCACCAGGCGATCTCAGACACTGTTCCTTTGGTCACACCTAAAGCTAGAAAGCAACGTTCATGGCTAAAAAGGGGGACACAACGCCTTCTACAGGCGAAGCGAAAAGCCTGGTTTGCGTGGCGAGTATCGCAGAGTCAACCCGAACATGAAGAGTACCTCGAACTCAGGAATCGGTGTAACATACGAGTCCGGAGTGATAGAAGGACATTTCAGAGAAACCTCGCCAATAAGCTTCTCGTGAACCCCAAAAGCCTATACAGGTTTATGTCTGAAAGAAAACCGACCAACCAGGGAGCTTGCAATATAGTGGGTTCTGATGGGAAATCTCTTACTAGTCTTGAAATGGCAGAGACATTCAGTCTAGCCTTTCACAGGCAACTGAACAGTAACGAGGATTTTACCCTCACAAAACATCAAGATTACAATGCAAGACCAACGTGCGAAAACCTGCTGGGTACATTTCAAATTACCCCGGCTATGGTACTCATAAAATTGGGAAAGTTGGCTTCGGGAAAGTCTGCAGGTTGCGACGACATAAGACCATCCGTCCTGAAGCAGTGTTCAGAAAGTCTCTGCCAACCCCTAAGTGATCTGTTTCAACACTCCTTTGATGTAGGGAAACTTCCATGTGAATGGAAACAAGCCATCCTATCCCCTATCTTCAAGGGTGGTGACCCGCAGAACGCGACCAGTTACAGACCAGTTGCGCTACTCCCAGTGATATCGAAGATATTGGAAAGTCTCATTGACGACCACATGAGAAAATACTTCGACGGGACTAACCTACTCCATGAAGCACAGCATGGTTTCAGGAAGGGAAGATCCTGTGTGACGAATCTTCTACTAGCTTGGAACGATTGGACACTATCCTGGGATGTAAAGGTACCAGTCCATGTGATCTTTCTCGACTTTGCGAAAGCATTCGACACAGTTCACCATGGTCTGCTCCTTCACAAAATAAGCAAAGCGGGTGTTTCTGGAGCACTTCTCGCATGGCTGGAAGATTATTTAGGCGAGAGAGAATTCTGCACCAAAGTCAACCGCATCCGATCATCCTGGCACACCTCGGAATCAGGGGTTCCTCAGGGTTCTATCTTAGGGCCGTTGATGTTTTTGATTTTTATCAATGACTTGCCCTGTCAACTGAATTGCTCTGCGCTTCTTTACGCTGATGACGTAAAGATTTGGAGAGCAATAAACTCATCGGAAGACTCCGACAGATTGCAGGCTGACCTGCAAACGCTGGGGGACTGGGCTCTGGCTAACGGAATGCCTTTCAACTTAAAGAAGTGCAAAGTAGTGCAACTTCATTCCGGCAGGTCACAGAGTGCAAATTACACCCTTGGTGGCCAGAACTTGAGTTGTGTGCCATCAGAACGCGATCTAGGCCTTATTTTAACAGAAAAGCTAGACACCAGTGTAAATTACACGAGGGACGTCGCCAAAGCTTACGCAACTTTACACTTTATGCATAGGCAACTGGGAGCTCTTACTCCTGAACTATTCCTAACGTTGTATACGACATACGTGAGGCCACTCCTTGAGGTGCATAATATCATTGCTCCTCCGCTACTCAAAAGGGATGCTAACATGCTAGAAAGTGTCCAGAGACGAGCGACAAAATGGGTGATCGGCCTCCGCAACAAATCATATGAGGAGAGACTGAAGAAATTAAGTCTTTTCACACTTAGTTACCGTAGTCACAGGGGAGACCTCATCACCGTCTATAAGATCCTAAATGACCAGGCCCATCCTGATAAGAGCATCCTGCCATTAAGTGATTATAGGCTTCCACGAGGTAACCCGCTAAGGATAGCACACCAGAGACCAAGGACTCGAGTGCGTTCACATTTCTTCTCGCTTCGAGTTTGCCGTCTCTGGAACGCTTTACCGGCGGCCGTAACTACAGCTCCATCTGTGGAGATTTCTAAGCGGAAGCTGGACAATCATGCAGAAATGCATGGTTTGTGTCTCAATGGCTTACCCTCTTAAAATTTGAAACCACATTGTCAATGGATAAGCATACAAGCTAAATCTTCACGACCCGTCCTGTCTTCTCCCACTGTACCGTCTACTCTATCTTTCTTTCTTTCTTTATTATTTCACTTATCTCAACCTATATTATCTACACTACAACCTTTTATTATCATTATCATTATTATTATTATTACTCTACTTTTATGACTATACCGAATGACCAACGGGTGTTAGGTCAAACTCCATTCACGGCAGCAGCTGAGTCCTAACATACTGCACACTACAAACCACAATCTTGACCAATCCTCGCATCACTCCTCCTGGAGTCTACCAGAGCTAAAGCAGTCGAGTGGCGGGATTTACTACGCATAAGTTCACCGAAGATCTGGAACCTCTACCTTAAAATCAAGAAGCGAGCTCAAAGAAATCACTGGTTTATACTAGCTCGTAATCAGGATATAGGATATTGGATATTGGATACTTACTTTTTGCGTCACTATGAGTAGCTTGGATTTGAAACCAAAATATGAAATAGGTAAGATGCTTACTGTTTCCTTATAAAGAATCACGTGCATTAAGGTGAAAAATTACTTTGTTTCCATGGGCCTCTTATGTATGAGGCAAAATGTCTAGACGTCAAAGTGAAAGAAGATGGTGTAATGTATTTTGTGCATTACCAAGGTTGGAATAAAAAGTAATAATATTTCAGTATTAATTTACGTCTTGATATAGCTGGGATGAATGGGTGACAGAGAAACGTATGTTCAAGTATAATGAAGAGGGTTTGAGAAAACAAAATGAATTAGAGCGACAAATGTAACTTGTGTAAAGCAATGTTTCTGATCACGATGCTGCTTGTAATTTTCAGAAAATCGGGCAAGGTTAAAGTTTTGAGAAAGTCCGACTTGAAGTCACAGTCATTGCCACCTCCAGAAGTCCTGGAGGACGTCGAGCGGACATTGAGGCCTGGTCAAGTGAAACAAGGTGAGATATTACCCGGTTATATACTAAGTGCCGCTATAGAGGAAGATGCTCCCAAGGCCAAGAATATAAAAACCAATGAAGAAGCCATTCGTAAAACTGATGCTTGTGTACCTGCTGGTGTTAAAGAGACTGAAGATATTAAACCACCCATTAAGAATACGACGTGCATTTTTCCGTCTAACAGGAAATATCCACTTTTGTGAATAATTCGTTTGGGAAACCTGATCTTCCTATCCGGCGAATTTTATTCAACCATTTCTTGTTCACCGAGCCTGTGTTTGGTACTTCCCACTGTCACGAACTACTGCCCAAGCTTCAGGTGCTACTTCTGTAGCAACATCCCCCTCACTCTTTCAAATATACAGGACTTGTTGGTCTGTTACGTGATTGTTGTGAAGCCGAATAACCCGAAAGTTACAGGTAAAGTCAAAAGCTTTTACTTATATACTTTATCTTTCTGTTCTGTGCTTTCTACTGTCTTTTGCTGTCAGTCTTTTGGACAAAACTCCACTCTCTCTTATCATTTAATCATCGGTATTATTTTAGGAGTAAAATGACTATAGATTCTCATCCCAAGATAAGTAATGGGAGACCATGCACCAGAGCTTCAGCCAAACTAAGCAAACAGGTGAATAGTATGACACCTATATCCACAGTAGGCCTTGAAACAAACAGGAAGGCCAATAAGAAACGTTCACGACGTCGCAAGACGACGAAAACGTTCCCCAAGAAGGCAGACGATTGCAAGGTCTGCAATTCTATTGTCGAACAAGCAGATTCTGCTTTCGAATGTAACTTTTGTAAGCAATGGGTACATTGTAGATGTGACACCGGAGTACCAAAGGTATATTACGATTTTATGCGTAAGAACCCATGCCCATGGTTCTGGTACATTTGCCCAAGTTGCCGTCCTAATGCAGCCTCGTGTAGTTCCTCGAAAGCTACAGATGTCATAGAGATATCAGGAAAAAACGTGAAACGTTTCACTCCCACCAACTCAGAAAACAGCACAATTGCATGTAAATCGGGGATACCAAAATCCACACCGGTTATACTTACAATTCCTGCCATAACCGCCCCAGACACAGAGGTTGAAGCACCAAGGGTACCTGTCGCTGGGAAAAGACCCTTACCGTCCACCAGTAAAAGTGGCCACAGCACTGCGACACATAATAATACCCAGTTGCACCAGATGAAACAAAACAGTCTTAAGGGGGATGACAAATGTGCGAGGACCGAACCTAAATCCACGGTCAGTCGGTCAAACTGCGTTATCCTCTTTAATGTACCAGACTGTAGCAGTAGTCTGCTGGAAAACAGGGCCCTGTTTGATCAGGAACAGTGGTCCAACTTATGTAGCACACTGGGTCTGGACATCCAACCAGTAAAACTGTGCAGATTGTATAAGGGCACTGCTGCTCCTCAAGGCAAACCATCCCCACTGAGGGTAACACTAGGCTCTGTCGAAGATGCCGAAAAAGTTTTATTGACTTCCCAAGTCCTTTCTATAGGGAGGACCTGCAATATACGTGTTAGGCCAGATAGGCCATGGAAGGAAAGACAGATGGCGAGGGAGTCGCCAGAGCTTATTCCTTCTGCCTCCATGGTTGTTCACGGCATTCCTGAACTGGAAACTGGGAACGCTTGTGAGAAGCACTGTCACGATGTCCAGCAATGGAGATGGTTGGCATCCCAGATGGGTCTGGGAAGTTCAGGGGCTGTCTCTATTTTTAGACTGCCTCGACCCACTCACCTAATGTCAATTAACACCCCACATCTGTTAGCTGTTAAGTTTAGCTCCCGAGACCACTTGACTACTGCTCTCCAGAGATGGTACGAGACCAAAGACAAGGTCAGCAGACACATTCGCTGCTGCGAGAGCCGGCCTCGTACCCAAAGGAGAGAGCAAAACGTTGTCATAGAACATCCCCAACCCCTAGTCACAATACAGCGGTGCAGCACGGACGATGATAGCCAGTGCCATCCAAGTGCTCCGATTGAATCAGAAGAAAAAAACTCCAACAGGCCGGTTCCCGGGGAATCGGCCAACTAGTTCGCAGGATAACTCCTCAACCGACAGCCCACATCACGTCAACCACCCCCCAATACGGGGACGTGGTGAGACTGACTACCAGTTGCCTGTACAGTAATGTGAGAGGTCTAAGAGGCAAAATAGCTGAACTTAGATACCTACAATCACAGCTGAACTCCAAAATCATAATACTGACGGAAACCTGGCTAACCCCTACGGTGGCAGACAGCGAAGTCAGTATAAATGATATGGTCCTTGTCAGGCGAGATAGGGATCTGAAAGAAGGAGGTGGAGTCGCCATATACGTCGACAAACAGCTCAGATGTGTCCATGCAATCGACCCTCCCCTCATTGAGCTCCCTGACTCCATATGGTGCCATTTCACCGTTGGGTACTGTAAGTATCTAGTGGGCAGCATTTACAGATCACCTTCATGTGGAGCAGACCACAACCAGGTACTGCTGAATGCAATTTCAGCGACACATGACATGGGTTATGATCAAATTGTCATAGCTGGAGACTTCAATGCCCCATCTCTTAACTTGATGACGGGATGTGCCCAGGACAGATTTGATCGAAATCTGCTGCATACCATCACGGAGGCCGGATTCACCGAAAATGTCAGAATGGATACTAGATGGGGCCCAGATGGGAAGTCTTCTAGACTGGATTACGTGCTCACTAGTGACCAGCTACTAGTGGAAAACGTTCAGATCACGACTCCCATAGGTAGTAGTGACCATGCGGTCATAACATTCGACATAGTCCTCCGCGAGCGTTTACAGTGGGACAATACACAGCCCTATCTGTGTTATAACAAAGCCAATTACACCGAAATGCGAAGACTTTTGTCTGAAGCAAATTGGCCAAAAAATTGGACAGAGCTTACAGTAGAAGAACACTGGAGAGTGGTAAAGGAGATCATTCACCAGGCGATCTCAGACACTGTTCCTTTGGTCACACCTAAAGCTAGAAAGCAACGTTCATGGCTAAAAAGGGGGACACAACGCCTTCTACAGGCGAAGCGAAAAGCCTGGTTTGCGTGGCGAGTATCGAAGAGTCAACCCGAACATGAAGAGTACCTCGAACTCAGGAATCGGTGTAACATACGAGTCCGGAGTGATAGAAGGACATTTCAGAGAAACCTCGCCAATAAGCTTCTCGTGAACCCCAAAAGCCTATACAGGTTTATGTCTGAAAGAAAACCGACCAACCAGGGAGCTTGCAATATAGTGGGTTCTGATGGGAAATCTCTTACTAGTCTTGAAATGGCAGAGACATTCAGTCTAGCCTTTCACAGGCAACTGAACAGTAACGAGGATTTTACCCTCACAAAACATCAAGATTACAATGCAAGACCAACGTGCGAAAACCTGCTGGGTACATTTCAAATTACCCCGGCTATGGTACTCATAAAATTGGGAAAGTTGGCTTCGGGAAAGTCTGCAGGTTGCGACGACATAAGACCATCCGTCCTGAAGCAGTGTTCAGAAAGTCTCTGCCAACCCCTAAGTGATCTGTTTCAACACTCCTTTGATGTAGGGAAACTTCCATGTGAATGGAAACGAGCCATCCTATCCCCTATCTTCAAGGGTGGTGACCGGCAGAACGCGACCAGTTACAGACCAGTTGCGCTACTCCCAGTTATATCGAAGATATTGGAAAGTCTCATTGACGACCACATGAGAAAATACTTCGACGGGACTAACCTACTCCATGAAGCACAGCATGGTTTCAGGAAGGGAAGATCCTGTGTGACGAATCTTCTACTAGCCTGGAACGATTGGACACTATCCTGGGATGTAAAGGTACCAGTCCATGTGATCTTTCTCGACTTTGCGAAAGCATTCGACACAGTTCACCATGGTCTGCTCCTTCACAAAATAAGCAAAGCGGGTGTTTCTGGAGCACTTCTCGCATGGCTGGAAGATTATTTAGGCGAGAGAGAATTCTGCACCAAAGTCAACCGCATCCGATCATCCTGGCACACCTCGGAATCAGGGGTTCCTCAGGGTTCTATCTTAGGGCCGTTGATGTTTTTGATTTTTATCAATGACTTGCCCTGTCAACTGAATTGCTCTGCGCTTCTTTACGCTGATGACGTAAAGATTTGGAGAGCAATAAACTCATCGGAAGACTCCGACAGATTGCAGGCTGACCTGCAAACGCTGGGGGACTGGGCTCTGGCTAACGGAATGCCTTTCAACTTAAAGAAGTGCAAAGTAGTGCAACTTCATTCCGGCAGGTCACAGAGTGCAAATTACACCCTTGGTGGCCAGAACTTGAGTTGTGTGCCATCAGAACGCGATCTAGGCCTTATTTTAACAGAAAAGCTAGACACCAGTGTAAATTACACGAGGGACGTCGCCAAAGCTTACGCAACTTTACACTTTATGCATAGGCAACTGGGAGCTCTTACTCCTGAACTATTCCTAACGTTGTATACGACATACGTGAGGCCACTCCTTGAGGTGCATAATATCATTGCTCCTCCGCTACTCAAAAGGGATGCTAACATGCTAGAAAGTGTCCAGAGACGAGCGACAAAATGGGTGATCGGCCTCCGCAACAAATCATATGAGGAGAGACTGAAGAAATTAAGTCTTTTCACACTTAGTTACCGTAGTCACAGGGGAGACCTCATCACCGTCTATAAGATCCTAAATGACCAGGCCCATCCTGATAAGAGCATCCTGCCATTAAGTGATTATAGGCTTCCACGAGGTAACCCGCTAAGGATAGCACACCAGAGACCAAGGACTCGAGTGCGTTCACATTTCTTCTCGCTTCGAGTTTGCCGTCTCTGGAACGCTTTACCGGCGGCCGTAACTACAGCTCCATCTGTGGAGATTTCTAAGCGGAAGCTGGACAATCATGCAGAAATGCATGGTTTGTGTCTCAATGGCTTACCCTCTTAAAATTTGAAACCACATTGTCAATGGATAAGCATACAAGCTAAATCTTCACG